GCGAAAAGAAATTCACAACTCAGTCTAAGAGCATCATTTTGGCTTCAAATTCGTATCAAAGACTCTACAGTGTCTGTAGATTATCTAGCCAAAATATGAAGGTTAACTATTGTGTGATTCTGAAATTCATTAAGGCCGAGGACTCACGATTGAAACATACGTAGAAGGGCGGTGGTGATGAACTAAGGGTCGCACTTTCTACTATAGAATTTGCAATCCATGTACATGGTAATCACGGAAAAATAATCATGAAAGCCTATGGTTCGAAAATACGTTGGTGAAACTTTTGTAAGAAGGATTCTCACAGAAGGATTTTTCTCAAAGAAGGATTCTTATCAGAAGGACACTCACCTCTAACCTAGAGAGAAAATTTTCAAATGAAATTGTTTTGATTGAAAATCGAGTTTTAAGTATGCGATTCGACCCAGTTTTGTCTGCTGATCTCAAACATATTATTATTTTTGCTAGAAAATATATGGGAAGTGAGAAAGATGCAAAATAAGTGAAGTAACGAAGGTTTTTTGTACTGTCCGTATATATACGGGCCCCGTCACCAAAGGGTTAAGACCTCAACGTACGCTGTTTATTCTTACTGAACGAACGGCATTACAAATTCACTTCTTGCGGTAACCGTTGCAACTCCCATTCAAAGGAACAGATACGACTGACACACTAATGCAGTGTGCGTTTAAAATTTAAGAAGAATCACAAATGTTGTATTCTAACAGTGAAAATTGCGAATTTAGAAGGATCCAATTTGAGAATTTAACCTCACCAAATTTTTCATTGAAAGTGTAAAACTCAGAATATGGCGTTGATTTATTAAATGTTGTTATTTATTTTCAAACATGTGATGAACCTGAATCAGCTGTTTTCAAAAAATAAAAGAAGACACAATATTATATTTTACTGAAATCGTATAGTGCGTCCTAAAATAGTACGTTTAAATAAAAAAACTGTTTTCTTTTTAACATGCTGCTATACAATGTTTATTTTTTGCTGTGGTCTATGAGTGTTCGAAAGTTTAACGTGGTACATGGATCCACTCTGATAGTTTTAAAAATATTTGCTTAGTTCGTCGTACTGCACAGGTATATCGGCTATATTGTACTTTGTAGCGCTTTCATAATAATCAGTCTTTCTAAAGAATCGACTGACTGTTATGGGCTTTGGATGGTTTATCTACCTATGTTATTTTACATGGCGCTGGCTTTATATCTTCTCTTATGTAGTTAGCTTATTCTACCCTTTTTAGATAAGAAATAATATAATTCGAGTTCCAAATTCTGCTGTTAAGATACGATTCAAAGGAGAAATACTTCAGTTATTCTAAACCAATTAATGAAAACTTCTTTTTTCTGCTGTTAGTAAGACACGGTCCTTTTGAGAGAACATTTCAGCTAATTTTTAAGAAAGATAACAACAAAAACTTGCGAACTTAATTTGTATGCATTACGTTGCCGTATTGAACCTAAAAATTTCGGTTTATTGAAACGACAAGGGTCTCAGCGATATAGAGTTATCTTTTTCGATAGGAAGCTTTTTATGTTATCGTTGTCTTTGCTCGTAATACAAAAGTATCCGTACTCTACTGCAGTGAGTGAAGTTATAAAAGCTTTTTATGACATGTGATGTTGTGCACGCATGCACAGATTTAGCACTTCACTTTGTTTTTTTCGTTTATTTGTTTCATGTTTTTCTTCGTTCTTTTTAAATGGCGTACATAATATGAGTCTATAAATCTATAATTTATGATAGTCTGTACATATGTGTAGCCATCATCCCATATGATGGATATCACGCGTAGCAGAATAAAAATTTAATATTAGACTGTTATCCTAACTCATAGGATTCTTATTTTGTATTAGAGACATTTGATTAATGTCATATTTAGGGTCGTTATGCGTCTTTTCCCGTCTATTTTTTCCTTTTCTAAATGTATACTTATATTCACTTCAATTTTATTCATGCATTGCTTTTTAGATCAATAAAAACAAACTTTTTCACAAATATTCTCTTTTCTAACTATAAAGACAGCAGAAGAAATCAATCAAAATATAAACATAATTCAATTCTTCTTTCTCTTTGCTTGTGCGTGCGTCTAGAATGTAAAACATCTATTCTATTGAACATTTTTCTGTCTAACAAGTGTAAAATTGACAAAGAATCAGAAAGAGAATATGTGAACATTTAAATACAGAACACAGGTAATGATAAGTATATGATGATCATATGATATAAAAAAACTCATAAATAAATAATTAGCTAGAAGTTTGTCTTTACGTAGATAGGGTAATTTTGAATGTATATATATATATACATGTACGCGTTAATCTTATCTTCTAGCAAGGTCATTTTCTTGCATGTACGTCAAAGAGGATACAAGAGTATCTTTGAAGATATGTTTATGTTTCGAAGAACATGTCATGTACCATTGAATAAAACTAAAACATCTGTAGGTCACAGGAGAGAAAGAATAGAGACCTGAAGAAAATTATATATGGTACTCACCACACCCATTACATATGGTAATGATGACTCATAGATGTGAGGTTAATTGACTGATGAGAGCCATTGACGTTCTAAATTGGATAATAGGAATAACCTTTGTCAAATTTACTCTGATTTTACTATAAGAATTCATTTTTTTGGTCTGAAATAACAAGATATTCTTTTACATTAGGTATATCAGTGTACATATCCTCTAATTACTCGTCAAGGAAGTTATAATTTTTTCACTCTATGTTTTAGGCGTTAGAGTCTTAAAACACGGTATGAAGACATTAAAACATGTATTTTGCTTTCAATGTCGTCAGCCGATTAAAGTAGGTAAATATTAGGTAAATGGCTTGTTTACAAATTGAATTTTTGTTTAATCTCTTTCAGTCTTTTATTACTATTCAATTTAACTCATCCCACCATTCATATCCTCTAGAATGGCAGCGTTACGCACGTTCATAAAACGTACATATCAATCATCGAAACGTGGTCACGACACCGACTCTTCATCATCAACATCAGCCTCGTCGACTGGCGTTCACTTGATTCAAGACAACAATAACAACGGTGCTGCAACAAATGATGGTTACAACTCGAGTTCAAGCCTTGGCTTGAGCGGGTACGATGATCTGAATCGACCACTATTGCAATCACGTTCACATAAACATCATCGTACATCATCGGCACCTATTGAACGAAATCGTCAAAATTCTGGTAGACGAACACAACAAATGAATCAAAGTACGGCTGATTCAGACAATGTAAATAGTTGTCTTCTTGATAGAAAACTACCAAAAGAATTATTACTTAGGTAAGCAACATCGTTCATTAAAGATGAAAAAATTGCACTTTTTCTCTTTTTTAAGAATATTTTCTCATCTCGATTATAAAGCATTATGTCGATGTGCCCAAGTATCAAAGGTGAGAAGGCAGAGTAAAAATAACTAATTGCCAAATATTGATGGATGTGAATATTTGGAAAACCGTTCGATACAAAGTATTTAGCCATAATTGCTTTCTTTTCTAACTTTTGTATTGCTCATTATACAGAAAATAGTAACTCTTCGAAACGATATTATTTATGTTTACTGTTACTTGCTGTAGGATGACAAAATGCAATTGAAATTTAATTTATTTAAAATTTTTTAGTATTGGAATTCACTTGCACTTGATGGTAGTAATTGGCAAAGTATTAATCTGAAAGGTTTTCAACGCGATGTTGAAGTATGTATTTGAGAAAAGTGTATTTTTATGTATGTTTATGTTGCTTTTATTCTATGCTGTAGGGCTCGGTGTTGGAAAATTTGAGTAAACGTTGTGGAACATTTTTGAAACGTCTGAATATTGAAAACTGTAGAATTATAACTGATATGAATATGCGGTAAGATTACCACTCAAGAGAAAATTTTACAAATTCATTGCTTTTTTGTCTGTTTCAGGGTATTAGCAAATCATTGTCCGAATTTGGATCGTTTAATCATGAAAAATTGCACAAAACTATCAAATGCGTAAGCTTTGATTACTTTAAACTTTTTAACGTTCTCATTTTCATCCTGATTATAACTTTTAACGAGAGCCATCTCTCTTTTAGAAAATCAGAGTTCCCTTAAATTATCATTTTCCTGTTTTTTTCTTCATTTAAGCACCCTATTTTATTTGAGTAAACATTGTACATACTTGACAGTTATTAATATTGCGTCATGTTATCATATTGACGATCAAGGATTGAAAATGATTAGGTAAGTCGTGACTAAAAAATGAAGGCGTCTTTGATGTATATTTTTGTGTTTTTTGTTTATTTTTCAGTTTGAGTTGTCCAAACATTGAATCCTGCAATATATCTTGGTGTATGAATATTACGGAGAGTGGAATACGTTCATTAGCTGAATCATGCCCCAAATTAACAGTATTCAAAGCTGAAGGATGCACACATGTAATAAGAGTTTTTAAGAAATATCTTATCTTATTCTTTGGCGTCGGTATCAATATCTTTTTGAATGATCATATCATAAAATTAAAACATCTCTAAAGAGATATTCACTAACGCTTCTTGTTGTTTTTCATCCCATAGATGACCAACAATGCTGCTATTGAATTATCAAAAAATTGTCCCAGATTAATGTTCCTCGATCTTAACCGATGTTCGGTATGTACTAACGAGGGAAGCCCTCGAAGTGATTAAACGCTTTTTGCTCGGAATCTAGTGGGTTATAGGTTATCGACCATGCTGATTACGAATACGACCATGGGGCTTCCCCATAGCCCTTCGAAGACCTGGTGTTCTAGAAAACCAGTTTTTCAAAAACTCTAAAATATAACCCGAACTTTTCTTAATGAGGCATGATTGTAGCCCGCACATTTCTGATTAAAATGAGACATCTCCCAGCTTTGTACGACCTTTCTTTGCACAGTTATAGAATTTACAAGAAAAG